TGCCAGGGAGGGTGGTGGCCACATGGCTGGTGTAGTGGGCAGGGCACATCCTGGGAGCTAGTGGATGTGTCCGTATGTCCACCTTGCTGTGTGCCTTTGTCCTTGGGCCTTCCTTGACTCCTCCTCTGCCTCTTCCTTTGGGCATGTGCTGTGGCAGTGACTGGGTGTGCTGAATCCTGAATGACAAGAGGCTGGTGTCCAGGGACATGACATGGGTCGGGTGGGGGAGAGAGTTGCATTCTGTCTTGATCACTCATGGAAAACTCCAGCTTTTCACCTGCTGAGTGAGGAGGACTGTTGAGGGGGGCCCGGAGCAGCACATAGTGCCCACTCCTTGCCAGGCCCTCCCTAGACCAGAGAGGCTGCCTCCAGAAGGAAATGCACTGGCTGCCAAACCCAGGGGGAGAGGAGCCCTTCCACAAGCTGACTGGGGCACTTAACTTGTAACCAGGTGTAATGGTTGATACATCTTTGTGAATTTAAGAACTGAGAAGTTTAGAAGCTTAACTGAGTGACTCCACAGGGGGGTAGGGGGCTGGGGCCTCACTTGGTAAACATCCTGAGCTTGTGGAAGAGGAAAGCAGTGAGGTGGTGTGCGTGGATAGCAAGAGGAAAAGAGGCTTGCTTCTCCCCGCATTTTTTGGTCCTTGCTTTTGCTGTCTTCTGCCACCATGAACAGCTGCCCCTGTGCCTTGCCACCCTGCCTTGGAGCCAGTTGATTATGGACTGAAACCTCCATAAACTGTGAGCTAAATAAGCTTTTCTTCCTTACTTTTGGGTGTTGAGTATTTTGTCCCAGCAATGAGAGAAAAGTAACTAAGACACCAGGGAAATCTTGAAACAGCCAGGCAAGTTGAGGTGTCTGGTGAATTGTACACTCTGCCACAGCTGCGCCGTCACGGATTACCCAGGTCTCCTGTACGCCTTTCTCTTGCTCTAATACCAAGCTCACTTAATGTGCCTGGGCAGCACAGCGGTGGGCTTGCCCCTTGCTTGTCTGCTGCTGTCCCCTACCTGGACTGGGGCTTTTCTGCCGTTGGTGACCCTTGCTCTCTGCGTGCAGTGGGGCTCAACGTCTGCTTAGTGTGATTGAGCAGCCCCTCAAGGAAGAGCCCCACAGGTGGCAGAGACGGAGGGAGGGAGAGGCGTTTGGAGTGGTAATTCTGTCTCCAGTGAATATCTGAGCAGATTCCAAAGCCATTTATAGAACAGATGCCAAAGGGAGCACTTGAGGGATTAAACTCCATAGTAACCTTGTCCTGGAAATGGAAATAGCCTTGCTGTAAGCACTCTGCTGTGCTGCACAGCCTGGGTCTCGGGCTGGACCCAAACCTGGCTGCATGGTGGTGGACGGGGGAAGACGCTGCTGGCTTGCTGCTTTTAGTTTTGTGAAGTCTTGCAGGTCACAGAGAACTGGGGAGATGGAAAGGAGAAGAGCATGGATGTCTGCGGGTGTAGCTGCGGTGTGTGGCCCTGGTTTTGCTCTCAAGCATGTGAAGTTCATGCAGACAGCTCTGAGCCCTTCTGCCCACTGCCTTCCTCCTGGACCAGGGGCTGTGGAATGCTGTGTCATCTCCGCCGGGCCCTTTGGTGTTTGGTTTCTGCTGCTATTATAATTAATACAGCGTTGATTCTCAGAGAAGATGCACAAGTAGTGTGGCTTTGGATGGTTTCCCTTCGGAGAAGCCAGAGGTGACATTCCTAGGTGAGCGCAGGCTTTGCAGGCATTGTGTAGCTCTCTCACGGTGCCCAGCAGGAATGGGCTCTTTTAGCTGGAAGTGGCATTTTTGTATTAACATTGCCTGACATGTACTTGCTTTATATTCTGAGAAATATTTTAAAAATAATAGAGGAAGAATGTTTTTATAGAAAGAACTACCCATGCTCTTGTCGTCTGGGTCACAGCAAGCTTTCACCTCTTTGTGTCATGCCATTTGCTGGCTGTTCTTCTCCAGTGTTCTCTGCATGTGACCTGCATGTGCGTATGCATGTGTGTGGTGGGCCACTATCCCTTTAATAGTGTGGCAGTCACCCAGCTGGGGCTGGGGCTGTGTCCTAGTGATTTGGCCGATGACGCTGTGGCTCATCTGTGAAACCATGGCATTCAGGACCTTTAGGAAGCTTTCCTTACTCCCGGTAATTTTCCAAATGGGAGGGCTTGGAGCAATTGACCATGGTCCAGCTCCATCCCAGGTGGGAGCAAGGTCCAGGCAGAGTGTGGCTGGCAGTGGGTGGCAAGCAGCCACAGGCAGGAATTTGGTGCCTCAGCTGTGTCACCACCTGACGAAGATAGATCCACCTCAGAGTCAGGATATGCTGGTCCGTTTGCCCACTCCCAACCCATGCACCACCGGGTGTGCAGACAGAACGGCTGCACAAGGGATACCATCTCTTGCAGCTCTGTGTGTCCTGTGGACTCAGGTAGGCCGTGGGGTTGGAGGGCAGAGACCTGCCAGCCAGCCCTTTCCTGAGCCCTTAGTTGGGGACATCTTGGTCTTTCTGGTCTTCATTTGCTCCCTCCACTTCCCCAGGCTCTGGAGTGTGCAGGGTGGTGGTGCTGAGGACAACTCACCCTTGGGGGGTGCTCCCAAGGCTGTGCTCCAGAGGGGACAAATCTGCATTGTGGAGAGGGGGGCCTAGTGTCTGGCCACACTTGCAGCCAGGCTGGGCCAGGTGGCCTTGGGCAGGCTGCCCTGCTCACCTTACATCGCCCCTCAGGGGAGGGTCCTGTGAGCACTGATGTTGCCACGTCTTCCTACAAGAAGGGTCCTTATCATCATCAAGGAGGCCATGATATGATGTGCTGTGTGACATGTGATGTGGTTTGTGACATGACCTGCTATGCCAAGTATGTTGTGTGTGGTTTGTGATATGTTAAGTGTGACATGAAATGTGAGCATGACATGTGTGTTGGGTGCGACATGTATGATGTGTGACAAGATATGTGACTTAAGGCTGTGGAATGATGTGCCATGTCCTACGTGATGTGATATGTGTTGAAATGACTTAGTGTGTGAAGCATGTGTGGCACATGATCCATGGCATGTGACATGAGATGGAGCATGATGTGTGATGCATGCTGGGGCAGGAATGTGGAGCCTCCTGAATGTCCAAGTTCCTGTGTGCAGGGCCTTCCCCTGTGTGTCCCAGGCAGTGCCCAGAGGAAGGAGACAGCTGGGACTGAGTATTGACCAGAACTCCCGCCTCCCAAGGGGTCCCATGGAGTTGTCTCCCAGGAGGCCTCAGCCTCAGCTCCACGCTCCATCATTCCCTCCACGCACTCAGTCATTCCCTCTCTCGGCACCTTTATTCATTTGCTCACTCACTCATTCTCACTCGTTCTCCAGTCATTCTCCATTCATTTTCTGCTTACTCTCACTCATTCACTTATTCGCTGCTCATTTGCTCATTCTAGGGAGGCCTGGCTCGAAAGCCAAACAGTGTAGAAGAGCAGGATAATTGGGGTAGCTGGCTCTGCAAGGCTGTGCTTCTTTCATCTGTCGTTTCACTTCATTTCATTTTGTTTTTCATCTTTGTAGCTTTGGGTCATCATTCAATTGCATACTTTGCATGAAATAATAATTTTAACAAAAATATGTTCACAAATGTGTCTGTCCTATAATTAAAGCATTCTTGGCTCCTTGTGCTCTAGGAAATTTGGATTTTGTACTTAGAGAGTTTGTTATCCATTGTTTCATAAATTTTTTTATGAAACAATGCTGGAGATTCCAATGTGTGTCCTCGAGTTATTAATCTTTGATAAAAACTAGCTCTTTTACCACATTCTGAGCAAAGCAAGGATCTTAGGACATTTAACACTGTTTACCCACTCCTCCCTACTATTTGTGATGTCATTAGGTAATTGAACCCTGTCCATTTTTTTTAATTAATTAATTAATTTATTTATTTATTTATTGCGGAATCGGGGATTGAACTCAGGCCCCTGTGCTTGCCATGGAAGCGCTTATTCCACTGAGCCATCTCCCTGGCCCAAAATTTACCATCTTAGCCTTTTTTTTTTTTTTTTTTTTCCAGAACCAGGGATTGAATTCAAACCCTTGTGCTTGCCAGGGAAGCACGTGTTCCACTGAGCCATCTCTCCAGCCCCACCCTGCCCATTTTATGTGTCACATGTCATTTTATTGTTTCCTTATATAGTCAATATTAAGAGAATAACCCATCTGCCTTTCCCCTTGCTTTCTGTTTTTCTCAGCAGTTTGATCTGAGATAATTTTCTCTTTTATTTGGAGTTTTACCCTTTGTTTTTCATTTATACCTGTTTGTCAGGGATGATGTGTTTGTCTGGACCATTTTCATTTATTTATTTTTTATGTATTTCGTACATGGTCTCACTGTGCAGCTCAGACTTGTAGTGATCCTTCTGTTTTAAGCCTCCCCAGTGCTGGGATTACAGGTATGTGCCACCATGCCCAGACTCAGTGCCCGGCTCGGCCTGCCCAAGAGCGGGGGCAGGGCTGGCGCTGCATTTGGTGCCCGGGATCAAACCCTAGTCCCTGTGCTTGCATAAGCAGGTGCTTACTCCACTGAGCTATCTCACTGGCCCTCCACGGTTATTCTTATTTGAAGAATATTTTTGCAGAATGTAAAGTTAGCTTTTTTTTTTCCTCTCCAGCATTAAAGGTATTACTCCATAGTCTTCTGTTAAACCTACATAGCAGCACCTTGGTTTCTGAACTCAGTTTGCTTTACAGTTTTGGAGAAGGTGACTGGGTGTGTGTGTGTGGGGGGAAGATGGCTGTGGTCATGTTTGTCAACGTGATGTGAAGCTTGCCAATGGAAGCAAGACTGACTTCCATTTTTTTTTTTTCCTGACTTCCATTTTGCTTACTGCTTTTGTTTGTGAACTGAATTGTTTGTAAACAGAAGGGTTTGTGAATTGAGGTGTTATTGTTTATTGAGTTGCTAATTTTAGTTTTTAGTTCTAAATTTACATTTGACTTTTGTTTCATAGATTTCAATTGTGGTGAAAGGTTATTTCACGTCAGATGGGTAATGTGCCCACGTCGTAACAAGGTTTTAGGGAGGTATATTTCATGCATAAAGCATGAACACCTAGTCATCATGCTCACGAACCGAAGGATCTAAAAGTTAGCCTCTTTTCTTTATTTTTTTTGGCGGAGCCTGAGATTGAACTCAGGCCTTTGCGCTTGCCAGGGAAGCGCTTATTCTACTGAGCCATCTCCCCAGCCCCTGAAAGGTTTCATCTTTCTATTTTCTTGACCACACTCATTCCAGGAATTAAAGTCTGTCTGATAACTAAAATATTTAGATCATCTAGGCGTGTGTTGTTACTGTTTGACTTCTTGTTGTTGTTGTTGTTCTTGTCTCTTTGTCTGCCTGGTCAGTTTTTATTGGTGTGTTTAAAAATTATGGAGAAAAAATATTATGGAGAAATGTGAAGCTCTGGATGATTTCTCTCTAGACTAGATTCACTTTTGGTTTTGGGAGTCAGTGCATATAAGAGCAGATCATCGTGATCCAACCTGGAATTGAGCTGATTTGAAGCTGTGCTCCAGCCTTTGCGAGAGCTGCCGTCTCCTCATGGAATGTTTTATCTGCCGCTTTAGTGGTTAGCATTTCCGAAGGCCTGTGTATTTACCAAAGCCTTTCGTCTTTGATAAGCTCTGGGCCCAAATTTTTGATTTTTGTCTTTCCAGCCCTGTTAGGTTGCTGAAGTTCTGCTCAGCGTCTCAGCTCCTACCTTGCTGCTTGATGCCAAAGCTGTAGCAGCACTGTCCTGTGCAAAAGTAGTGTAATCCACATATGTCGTTCCAGTGTCACAGCCTCATTAAAAGTATAGTCAGAGCAGATAGGATTAGTTTTAATAAGTTATACTTCAAATATCTTAAACATAAGCAGTATAAAATTATTCATGGGACTTAAAGGTATTTTTAAAAAATGACAGTTGTACCTGAAATCTAGTGTGCACTTAGTCTGCCTCTGTGTGACTAACCTTGTTTTAAGTAATAATTAACCTCATATATATGTCTGATGTGAGATCCGAAAATATGGTGACTGTTTAAATTTAAAGGGCTTTATTACAGTAAAGGCACATTGCCATTAATCTTTCTTGCCCTCAGAATGTTCCCCTTACTGCAAGCACAGTCACCCCAGGCATGGTTCTTGCTATTTTCTGAAGCAGTTTTGGAAGTTGTCTTTTTTGAGTATCTTTTTTTTTTTTTTTTTTTTTTTTTTTTTTTTGGTACCAGGGATTGAACTCAGGAGCTTTGCACTTATTCCATGAGCTATCTCCCCAAATCCCTTGAGTATCTTTTAGGTTACGCTCTTATGGCTGCCTCAGTGTTCTCAAGCTGCTAAAGATGTGTACCTCTCATGGTCAGTTTGACTTTGGGGAAGAGCCCAGCAGTTGCAGGTGCTGGATCCAGTGACTAAGATGGACAAGGACACACTGTAGTGTTTTCATGAGCCTGCCTTCTGCTGGATGGCATTCAATGGCAGCATTCACCGTGTTTTTCGTAAAGACCGTGATAGAGTGCCCTGAACCTTTGGATTCTATGTGGAGTGAAATGTAGCCTCCTGAATCCAAGCCATAGTGGATGGATGACCCCACCACCAGCCTCTGTAGCTGTCTAAGAAGAATTCCACAGGCCTTCCCTCGCCCCTGTGGGAGATGTCCTTGGGGGTTGAACTATGTTAATCTCGCTGACTTTTGGCAGTGGTGCTGTCCAAATCTATCTTTAGGTGTCCCTTTAGGGTCATGGCCAGAGGGCGGAGCCCCCCTTTCTAGAAGCCAGGTATGTGGTATGGCCATTTGTGGAGTATGGCCACCTAACTTCTGCCCATGGGGCTCTACCACCTCAAGTGTCCACTCAGGGCAGGCCCTCAGGAAGGGTTTCCACAGTGGAATGCTCTACTGGGGGTTTGTCTTCCTGGATCTTGTGCCCAAGAGTTTGCTTCCTTTTTTATTATTATTATTATTTTTTTAATGTACTTGGTTATTACAGGGTCTTACTATGCAGCTTGGACTTGTAGTGATCCTCCTGTTTTCAGCCTCCCCAGCTCTGGGATCACAAGCATATGAGCATCCGCCACATGACTCTGGCTGGTTCAGCCCTTCCTAGGGGCAGGGCTGACAAGGCATGTGGTGCTGGGGATTGAACCAAGGTTCCTGCACTTGCCTAAGCTTGCCTAAACAAGCACTTTAGTCCACCGAGCTATCTTGTTAGCCCTGTCTCCCTGTTTTCATGGCTTGCTGGAGCAGTAATGGTCTGAGGGTTGAATCAACTACTTCTGTATGAGGAAATACATCCAGGTTTCCTGGAGGATATAGTGAGGGTCTCCTCCACTGTGGCCCTTCCTGCTCATTATCTGTAGGCTCCTTGTCCAAGGCAAAGAACAGGTCAGGGCGAGGACATCCCCAGTCCAGTGGGTCTGTTGTCTAAAGCTGACTGCTCTGCCACAGTTACCCCTCATATGGGTCTCCCTGTTGACCCATTCTAGAAGAGTGCAGCAAGTTGTCAGGCACCTATGTCATGGTTGATATCTAGAACTTTAGTGGGTTGGGCAGCTTTGCTGGGGTCCAGCCTGGTCTGGGAGAGCAGGCCCGCTGCCCAGTGACTGCACAGAGCTTCACCCTGGCCTGAGCCATGCTAAGGGCCTGGACCCTTAGCCCATCACTCACTGCCTTGGGTAGGAGCGAAGGCCACATGGGATGGGCTCTGTGTACTCTCTTATCTGAGGCAGGTGCCCTCAGATGTGTTCCCATGAACTGGGATTGAACTCAGACCCTTGCGCTTGCCAGGGAAGTGCTTATTCCACTGAGCCATCTGCCAGGCCCCTGCCCTCAGGTGGGTGGCCCCAACAAGGAAGGTTTCTTTCTCACAATTGTTCCCCCAGAATGGTCTGTGCCCACTGACACCCTGGTTCCCATTGTTCAGTGCACTGCAGACAGGGCTGGTCACTGCCATGGATGGCCTGCCTCAGCATTTGAGTCTGGGGCTCACGTGTTTCCTGGTCCTCCATTTCAGCATTTCCCTCTGAGCGACAGGCCTCTGTTAAGCTTCCTAACTACAGATTAATGCTTCTCTAAGGTGTGGCTGTGCATTGTGGGGAGTTGACCCCTTTTACTTCCCTTGTGGAGAATTCTCCTTTTGGGACTGGATGTGTATCACTCCCAGCCTGTCTTTGGCTTTAATTAAGTGGTCTTCCTTAAGGATACCTGTGCCGTGGAAGAGGGGGTGCAGTGTGGGCTGGGACTCAGCCCATGTGTGAGGCTGCAGGTGGAAGGGACCTCATATGCCATCCCACAGAGTGGAAGAGGCTGTGTGTATCCTTTCCTGTCCTGTTCTCCTCCCCTCCCCTCCCTTTCCCTCCTTATTCCTCAGTTCTACGTTGATCCTGCAAACTTTAAAGCCTCTGTTTGGAAATAAGATAGCCACGTGCCCTGTGCCCAGCTCCCAGTGCTGTCACTGTTTGCCTGTCTGCTTCCCAACCAGCTTTTCTGTTGTCTGAGCTGACGTCATGTACACGGGGTGCCTCACCTGTATTTCTGTCCTCTCCTGGGTGTGGAGAGTCGAGGCCCCATCCAGTGCCCACTTCTTCTTGGTCATAAGTCATCTCTCATAGCCTATAGACTTCTCGTGCACAGGAAGCCCTGCCCTGAGGCCTGGGCAGCAGGTTGTTTAAGGCATTTCTCATGGAGTGAAGGTGCAGCCCTGGCTGGTCCTGTCAGCTGTATCCCCCAGGGCCAGCTGGGATGTGATGGCCTCCTGGGCAGGTGTGTGGACCAGAAGCCAGGAGGTTGTGCTGAGGGTGCAGCCCATCAGCTCAGGACTCTGAACTGGTCAGCAGTGTGCCTGAATGAGGGACACACATCGGTTCCTGAGGAAGTTAGCGAGGTTGCTGGAACACAGGCTGCGCTGACCTTCGTACACAGCCTGTGTTGGCTGGCCAGCCCGCCAGTCATTGGCCTGTGTGGCATCCTCTGGCCATGTGAAAGTAGGAGGACAGTGGGTGGCAGGCTGACAGGCCTGGTGTGGTTGTCACCAGCTGTATACTCTGTTGGAGTAGATTACAGTCAAATGCAGGAGCCAGATCCTAGCTCACCTCTCAGCCTCACCAGGCAGCACAGATGGGCAGCGTCCTTGTCATGGAAAGGGCCCTCTGGTCTGCTTTCCCCTCCTTTACTTGGTTGGGTCCCACCTTGCCATCAGTTTACTCCACAGGGTTGGTTGTGGACTTGTGGATGCATCTCTCCTCCAGCCTCCTAGGAAGGCCTGCTATGACCAGCTGTGACCCTAGCTCCTAATATCAAAGTCTTGCGCCCTGGGCCCAGCACCCTGCCCTTAGCCCCTTAAATCCTGAGAGCACTTCTGTTTCCTGGCTGAGTATAGGGTGGCATGGGCCCAGGTCAGGCCTGCTGGGCTGGCCCAAGTGCTCTGGGACCAGCCTCACACACAGCTGGGGAGACTTGTGTCTGTCCTGGTTTCTTGGGGGTATGGTGGTCACAAAGGGTAGAGCTGCTGGATAGCATGTGCCAGGGCTGTGGGGAACTGTGGTTAGCTAGCCTTGTGGTCATTCTGTTAGGAGGAGAGGCCTGGTGTCTCCTGTGGCCTGGGTGAGGCCCAGGCCCTGGCAGAGGCTTCACAGGGTACAGGTTGGTGTGTTGGCCCTCTGGGAGACCCGTGGCTTCCATGGAGTCTTTGTGGTTCCCAGTGTTGGTTCAGGCAGTCCATAGCCCACCAGCCATGCTCTGCTGGGGGTGTCTGTGCCTCCATGCAGTACCCTCCCTCTTCTCTCACTGGCCTTCCTTTTCTTGGCTGTAGTGAGGCCACCTGTGGACCCTGCTACACCAGCTCCCCACAGTAGCCTGTCTTTGCCCCAGATGGAAGGAGGATGGGGCCACAATCAAGGTCTGTCCCAAGACCAACTTCTGTGCTCCTGACCACCTCTCTGAACGCCCCTCATGCACCTCAATGCTCTCCAAAGGTGGGGGGCTTTGCCAGAAGTGGAGAGCTTGCTCAGTGTGATGTCCACGGGCCTGTGGAGCAGCCAGGTGTTCCCAGTGAAGGATGGGTGAAGAGAGATGGAAGCGCAGAGCTTACCTGTACAGGTAGGGAGT